AGCCTCAAACTTTTAAAGAAGCTATGTCATCTTCTGATTCAGCGTTTTGGAAAGAGGCAGTCACTAGTGAGATGCAATCAATTTTGGATAACCATACATGGGAATTGGTAGATCTTCCTCCAGGAAATAAGCCTTTAGGTTCGAAATGGATCTTTAAACGGAAAGTGAAAGCTGATGGCACTATTGACAAATATAAGGCAAGACTTGTTGTCAAAGGTTATAGACAAAAGGAAGGCCTTGATTACTTTGACACTTACTCGCCAGTAACGAGGATAACATCTATTAGGGTGTTAGTGGCAATAACGGCTGTGTATGGTCTTGAAATCCATCAAATGGATGTTAAAACAACTTTCTTAAATGGAGAATTAGAGGAAGAGATTTACATGGAACAACCTGAGGGTTTTGTGGTAACTGGTAAAGAAAAGAAAGTGTGCAAACTTGTTAAGTCACTTTATGGACTTAAACAAGCACCCAAACAATGGCATGCCAAATTTGACCAAACAATGTTGGCAAGTGGGTTTAAAATCAACGAGTGCGACAAATGTGTTTACATTAAAAACACTCCAGGTCATGAAGTCATTGTTTGTTTATATGTTGATGACATGTTGATAATGAGCAAAAACATGGCAGATATAAATGCTACTAAGCGCATGTTGGCTAGCAAATTCGATATGAAAGACTTAGGAGTTGCTGATGTGATCTTAGGAATCAGAATTCACAAGACTCCACAAGGTCTAGCATTATCACAGTCTCACTACATTGAAAAGGTACTTGACAAGTTCAAGTATTTGGATTTCAAAATTGCCAAGACTCTAACTGACGTGAGTTAAGAATGAAAGTGAAAGTGACTCACAATTGGATTATGCAAGAGTATTGGGAAGTTTGATTTATATCATGAATTGTACACGACCAGATATAGCATGTGCTATTAGTAAACTGAGTCGGTTTACAAGTAATCCCAATCACATACATTGGATGGCAATGAAACGAGTTTTGGGATATCTCAAACATACCAAAAGTTACGCTTTGCATTATAACAAATATCCCTCCGTGATCGAGGGATATAGTGATGCAAATTGGATCACTGGATCATCTGAAGTTAAATCCACGAGTGGATATGTTTTCACAATTGGGGATGGAGCAGTGTCTTGAAAATCATCCAAACAAACGTGCATCGCCCGTTCTACAATGGAATCTGAATTCATAGCTTTAGATAAGGCCGGTGAAAAAGCTGAATGGCTCCGGAATTTCTTGAAAGATATTCCATTTTGGTCCAAACCTTTGGTACCTATTTGTATACATTGTGATAGTCAAGCGGCAATAGGCAGGGCAGGGAGTGTTATGTATAACAGAAAATCTCGTCATATACGACGGAGACACAATACCGTTAGACAACTACTCTCTAGTGGTATTATCACAATTGACTAATAAAGTCAAGATATAACGTGTCGGATCCACTTACAAAAGGCCTATCTAGAGAGGCAGTTGAAAGATCATCAAAGGGAATGGGGTTAAGGTCTAGGACAAGTCATCATGACGGTAACTCTACCTAGCAGACTGGAGATCCCACGAGCTAGGTTCAAAGAGATCAAACAAAGTTATGAATGACGGTTCAACATTGTCAAATAACTCAACCCATTCTCGTGATGAAGACAATGTTCAGAAATCGAGGTAAAGCATTAAGGCTTTTTGATGAGTCAACAAAGCTTAAAGGTTTTTTAATGATTTGCTAAGTCTGGCAGGATATGACCAGATAGTGTGTCTATAGGATTACACGTTTAGAAATCACCTATGTGAGTGTGAAGTGTAAGCCGCTTCAAGGGGAATGAAAGTAAAGGCCCATTCTCTAAGCACTCATGAAACCAGGCGGTGTTCATGGCTGAAACGAACACAACCGTGAGAACCATAGATGGTTAAGGATTGATTGTGTGACTTATGTTGTCTAGGTATACAACAAAGCTCGACGGTTCAAAGATATCAAATCTACCGATTGACCGAGTATATCCGATATAAGTTCACTACGGAAAGTTCAAAGGGAAACCTACTTATCCAGATGCAATTAATTCTTGCATGTAAAACACACACACATCCGTGTATTCCTTTATTTTATAGCCATTCCCCATTCATGTGGGGGATTGTTGGGATTTTAAGCTTGTGTAGCTTAAAGAGGATGAATGAAAAATGGAGGGAAAATAAAATATTTGAGTTTCCCTTGGGAAATGGACATTGTCCCATATCGGAGGAATAAAAGGCTTTTGATGGGTATATATATAATTGCTCTTCTTCTAGCTCTTAAAGAGTTAAGAAAAAGGGCAAGCCTCGCGCCGTCGTCGTCGTCGCTCGCTCGGCTCGGCGATTCGGATTTGGATTTGGTCAAAGATCGATTGATTGATTAATCTTTTTGGACAAAATTTCTTTCAATTATTTAATTAATTAATTAAATAATTAACAAAAAAATTCAATCCAAAATAACCCATGACTCGCGATCCGGTTCGGTCAGGCCCGTTTTCTTTCCCGAATTATTTTAAATATATTTTTCCCGCAATATTTCAAACACCCCTTTTCAACAGCCATGGTTGTTTCTGAAAGGTTACAAACCTTTTCAGAAACAATGCCAGCAACTCTATAAATAGAGTTTGAATCCCAGAATCTTTCCTTACGAAATTTTCTGAGCTTCTTCTTCTTCTTCTTCTTCACAATATTTTCCAGTGTATTTTACGACCATTGAGTGGTTCGCAGTTCATCAGAGTTTTTGGTACCAATACACTGGTGAGTTAAATCGTTCTATCCTGGGAGGATATATTCCAGCACCTCGGGTACTTGAGGGGAATAATTTCCTTAAGGACACATTGTGTATTCAGTGGGCTCGATTTATACCTATACTATTTTTGTTTTTCAGAATTTATTTCATTAAACAAGTATTACTAAATTTCTGTTTTGTTTTTTTTCCAGAAAGTTATATTGTTTATTACAGCAATACAGAATAATAACATCTCCATCGTCTAATTGTCAAAAGTTTGAACATTTCATTGGCCCGAATCAGTTAGTTAAAACAATTTGTCTGCAAAATCGGGTAAGGCTCAATAGGCTACCATCCGAATCTAATAAGTATCACAAATGCAAAATTTTGGTGGTCTTATGATCACTGCCTTGCCTTGTCATTAGACATTTTCTATACTTTATTAGTAATTACGAGTACTATGTGAAAGCAGAACACAAAGGATATGTACGTAAGAGAAAAATCATAAATAAGCTCATTCACTACTTATTTGGCAGTAGACCAGTACAGTGCATGACGAATTTTCCTCTGTATAAATGTTTAATTCCCTATGAAGATAGAGAAACAAAATAACGTAGTCATTTTGAAATTAGGAGGATGCAAGGAGCTGCCTGACATTCATAGGCCAAATATCAGGAGAGTTTCCGTCCAGCAGGCGTTTTGCTATGATGATATTAGCTGCATCAGTTGGATGGTATGGATCCCAGAACACATATTTGCTTCTATTTGCACAAATTTTAGATGAAGGACCGCATGGAATTATTCCCCCAAATCTTCCACCACCAGAACAGCAAGCTGAATTTGCATTCTCAAATCCTACATATAACAATATCCCCCATCAAATTAAATTATATTACCTGAATCTTGAAAATTTGACCTAATATCTTGATATGTCCGGAGAAATGGGGCTAGAGTTTGGCTAAAAATATTCCGTTGTCTTATTAAACCACTTCGGCCTAGTTGGGGTTACGTGCTGCACCAAACTAATAAATGAGCTAGTGTTCACGTCATGCCCTATGCTAGAACATTACTTCAGCTTTAAGTGGTGCGAGTAGGTGTTTTACTTAGGGCAGGCCTGATTTCACGATCCACATATTATTGAAGACACGATAAACCATAGGGGTTTCTAATTAATCTTTGATAGTAGAACTCACCATAAGATGAGTAATTCTGAATGATGTCTTGGACGATTCCGTAGGCATCTGCATAGACAAACTTTGATCCAGTAAGTTTGGAATTTAGTTCACTCACAAGCCCTCTCAATTGGGTGTTGTATAATTGCGCAAGCCCATTTGGGAAATTTACGCAGTTATCTCCAGCTGATGGATTAATATCCCTTTGGTAGGGGATACACCCAATAGGCCCAACATTCACCACTATTACTTTTCTGGCACCCAAATTATAAAGTCTCTGCATATGGTTTTGAACAAGAATCATCATGTCAGCATTCTACTTTGTGTTATAGCACTTGTAGTAGTCAACTTTAATAAATTCACAATTTACCGTTAGTTGAATTCTGTATTTGGATATCACTGCTCCCACAAATTTCATAGGAGGTACAGTTAGTTGTTCAGGTGTGGAGAGAACAGGCGTGAGATAATTGTTAATAAAGTCATTTGATCCCATCGTTACCGAGAAGAGTGAATTCTCAATCAACTTTATTGTCGCTGGCTCTCCTATTCTTGTGATTATGTCCTGTCTAGTGTTTGCAAAATTGTCTAATTGAGCATCCATGTTAATCCTTCCACCCTACCAATATTTAGAAAAACCCCATTTTAATCAATATCCAATCAAACACACAAAAAGAAAAACAAATCTTGGAGCACTCCCATCTGATGTTACATAATCCTCTTTTTGACTTGACATACTCGTGCATAACAGACCTAACATGATTATATGACTACTCAATGCAGATCTTTCACAAAACATATTGGAACAAAACAAAAAAATTTACATATTCTCGTATTGCATACTTGTTGAGATAAGTTATACCAAGATTTTGATATACTATAATACTGATTATAAATAATACCTCCAATCAAATACAAATAAATTTAATCCCTTATATCGAAATAACCCACCTAATACTTTGAATCAAACAGCCCCTCAATTAAACAATACATGCCTAACATTTCAAAACGAACGTTTTCCACATTTTGCAAGTGTTACATACAGAGGTATACAAAAGCAATGAGAATAATAAGGAAAAAATTGAAGCTAAACAATCAATACAAAATCGGGGAAAATTAAGGACTTACAAAAATTTGGCCAGATTCATTAAGAATGCCTCCTCCTCCAGAAGCATAATTGACACCTTGCTGAACCACTGGTCCAGATGTTGTTGGTGCTAAGTATGGAGGAGTCAAATTAAATCCCACTTCCTCACCTGCAAATCCATTCAAATAAAATCATCCAAAATAAGAAGAAGAAAAAAATAATACTCAGAAGCTCATAGTTTAGAGGGAAGTGAAAAGAACATAAAAGGCAGACATTTTCCGGAAAAAAAATAATAAAGGGAGAGATTTTCAGCAAGATTAAACTTGCCTAAAATGTCCACTATAGTTCTTCCATTTGTATATCTTCCTGTTGGGCCACCAAAATCAATACCATTTGGGAAGAAATTTGCTTTTGAAAGAGAAGCAATATAGTTATTGTTACCCACATCAACCAATGAATCTCCAAAGACAAAATTAGCAGGGACATTTTCTGCCAAACAGATCGTCAAGTTCTGAAGCACAACTCCCAAAATGGCCAACCTATAATATGATGGATTTCCCATTTCAAACACCTAGAGATAAAGCTAAGAATGTGGAGGCTTCTTTCAGTAGGAGAAAGCAAGGCCTTTGAAAACTGCAAGTTCTGTTAAATAGACCAACAAGGCAAATCAAGGACACACCAACCAATAGATAGAAAGAGGGAAAATTGCAGAGAATTAAAAGCAAATAAGCTTTTAGCTCACATTTTCAGTGAGACATGACTATAGTCACTATATTACTTATGAACTTAGGATGGGCCAGGCTATTCTATGAACTTGTTAGCAATGCAAGGACTAACCCGTCCAAAAAAGAAATGAGAGTAACTAGCAAATAATTAAAAGAAGATCAGTTTATAGCTCACATAATTCAATGGACATGCATATATTATAACTAAACCTATGAAATTAGGATGGGCTAGAAATAAAGAATTAAATTAAGAGAAGCTTCACGAGACATTTGGTCATAGTTGGGGACGATTTAACTGAAAAGAGAAATTCTCCTCACAGCTAGGCTTAACTCAACAATATGATAAAAGTAGAGAAAACGGAGCTTGAAATAGATATAACAAGCATAGTGTGAAAGTTGGTGGAGAAGAAAAATGGAAAGCGTTTCCTCATTAAATGCCTAGCAGAATCAGCACTACCAATCAGAGAAATTTTTTATATGTTGGAGCCAATCTTGAGCCAGAATGCAATCCCCAAAAGAGAAACAGAACCATTAAATATTACTACTCCTACTAGTGGATTTCTGTCCAAGTTCAGAAATTTATAATTTTTGTTGGTGGTAAGAAAATAAATTATGCAACTGCCAACCTTCAGATTCTCAACCAATTGGATGCCACAGTACGTGCAATTGAATGCAGTCACTTAAATTTACAGTATGGCAATTACTATTATTTTCATGGGGAGCCTCTGTTTCTTCTCTTCTGCTTCTTCCTCCTCTTTATTTTTTTAATGTTCGTTTCCAAAAGAAGGAAAAGCTACAAATATAATACTGAAAGATAGGTGTGGTTGAAAGCACACCAAACAAGTTTAAGTAATGATAGTAATACTTTTGACTTACAACTTCCACCAAGTTGACACCGACTCATGTTTTTATTCATAGAATTATTATTAACAACAGAATCTTGAAAATCTTAAAAGAAAAGTATGTCTTCATTTTTTACAACTGCATTAAGTCAAGTGGATGTTTAAGCAACTTGGTATTTCCTTACAAAATTTCTGCGGCAGCAGAGCAAGAAAGGCCCCAAATTATGGGCTCTTGCATGCAGAATTTTTTGAATTTTGTATCTCCTCTAAAAATTAAGTTATACAAGAACACACTTTTAACTTATGCAATTGTCCTTTCAAAGGAAGACACTCTTTGCTCGATTTGATCACTCCTGCAGTTCCCCTTGGTGTGAATCTCTGAGGCATATGCCTAATGTTCATTTTAAATAGAGCTTCACATTATCACTTTCGCAAATTGGTGAAAGTATCTATTTGATCATCATTATACTTTTTGTTCACATTTATCTGACCCTAAATTTAAGAGTTAATATCTTAAAATCATCTTAAACTATCATGTTTTTATCAGTTTTCTATTTAAATTATTAGGTGTCCCCAAAACCCCTCCCTAAATTATATTACCCTTCATATTTTAACACCCTCATTACTTACCTAGCATAACATGTGTAGTAACTCGCTTGGAAGCGTGTGACACCTGAAAAAAGTCATCAAAATAGCCCACCTACCGAATATAATGGCTAATTCGCCTAACACCTCTTTTAAATTTATTTATTTTATGAATATTCTCCTTATTTCAGTTATATCCACCTTTTTTCCTCATTTTTTCCACCACTCTTCCTTATTTTTTTTACATTTCTTTTTTATATTTCACTTTCTTATTCATTTTTTTAACCTTTTTTCTTCAGTTCTTCATATGGGTTTCCTCTGGAAAAATTTCTCCCTCGCTTGTTTCCTTTAAAATAATTTATTCTATTTCTTGTTTTAGTCTTCTTTTATGTTTTACACATATTGTTGAAAGAACACCAATTTGAATCTTCTTATTAAACTCATCACTTTGTAGAGAATAAAATTGAATCTCTTGAACCTTCTTTGTGTAATCTAGAATTAGAGAATGTAATTGCTAGTCAATTAATTTTTTATTTGCAAAATTTTATTTTGTGTTGTTTTTTTTTATGTAATATAAGATGATTTTTAAGAAATGCAACACTATATGCCTTTTATTTATATTTTTATGTGCTGCAAAGTGAATAATTATTAAGGACTTATTCAATTGGAGTCTAGCATAAAGCACAATCACAATTAAACCTAAAATTAGCACGGTACATTAGATATTATTTTGGCCAAAATTCCTAGAATTAATTAGTCATCCGAGAGTAATACATCTGGAATAAACTATATAAAAAATTTGTACAAACCATAAGTTAATATAGTTAGACAAACCCACCTTTAAGAGTCCAAAATAGAGTTTTAATATATGTTTAGGGGAGGTTTAGGCTAAGTTAATTTGCAATGTGTAGTGCTACATCGCACCTTTTTAGATAATTATGAGTGTGTACTAGACGCACCTCTAAAAATGCAATGAGGGATTTTTAATATGAAGGACAATATAGTTCAGGGAAGATTTTGGGGACACAAGATAGTTTAAGTAGGAATTGACGGTCACATAATTCAACATGGTGTTAGAGCAGGTTTAAGATGAGATGGTCACACAAATACAAGTGTTAAAGAGAAATTTAGCTAGTTCATATGTTCAAAACTATCAATCGATCCAAAAGCACAATCTCCCTCTTGAGAGGAACCAAGTACCCCCATTATTTTTTATGTTTCTTTTATAGCAGGCGAGATTGTGGTACCAGAATCCAATGTGCATTAGGATGAATGAAACAGAAAGCAACACATAGTTAAATCTTCAGTTTTGTTCTAAAATACTCTAAAATGTGAGGTATTTGTAGAACAGATTATTCTACCGGTGCTTAAGTATGCTTATTCATCCTTTTCATCTCTTGAAATGTGATGGAAGAAAGTGGTAATAGGATTTAAGAAAAACGAAGGGGAAAAGAGTCGGAAAAAAAAGGAATGAGCAAAATCAGGGATGGCCGACGATAGGAACTAAATCAAAGTGACATAGATCATAGCTTAATTACACTATATAGAAAGTACATAAAACACTCATATAGTATAATAACACGATAAACATGGTACATCCAACTGAAATACTACTATAAAAGAATCATAATTTCTACTCCCACAGAAAGTACCCAATATGTTGTGCCAAACTATCTCCATGTCATGCCCACGCGGCAGACTTCATAGACCAAGATGGAAATGTCAAAACACAGTTGGGCACCTTCTAATAGAGCGAACAGTATTATAATTACTCAAGGAGTAGCGGGTTTGTGTGGTGGAGAAAGTGAAGGAAAAGATATTTCTTTTGGTTTAGGCAGTTCTGGGATTTCAGGCCTTGGCATAGCTGGGACTTCTGGCTTTGGAAGCTCTGGTAGTTTTGGCTTTGGTAGCTCCGGGATTTTTGGCTTTGGTAGTTCTGGGATTTCTGGCTTTGGCACAATTGGTACCTCGGGCTTTGTCAAAGCTGGAACTTCAGGCTTTTTTATAGCTGGAGGAACCTCAGTTTTTGGGACTGTTGGGATTTCTGGCTTTTTCAGGGGAGGAAGCTCGGGTTTTGGCATTGCTGGAATCTCAGGCTTTGGCACAGCAGGAAGCTCGGGTTTTGGCATTGCTGGAATCTCAGGCTTTGGCACAGCAGGAAGCTCGGGTTTTGGCACAGTTGGGAACTCAGGCTTCGGAGCAACTGGTAACTTAGGCTTGGGCATAACTGGGATCTCAGGCTTTGGCAAGGTTGGTAACTCGGGCTTCGGGATGGATGGTAGCTCGGGCTTTGATAGAGTTGGTACTTCAGGTTTTGGCATAATAGGAATCTCAGGCTTTGAAACAGCTGGTATTTCAGGCTTTGGTATGGTTGGAAGCTCAGGCTTCGGCACAGTTGGGATCTCAAGCTTTGGCAAGGTTGGAACTTTAGGGAACTCTGGTTTAGGAATCTCGGGGAGGGGCGTCTCTAGAAGACGACGCGCGGTTGCTCCAGTTATCGGGCCATGGATGAAACACAAGTTGAGAAATGCAAGCAGTAAGAGGGAGGATAGCTGGTAATGGTAAGCCATATTTCTGCAAATCCTAGGAGCTTAAAGAAGAATGTGTATAGAATCAATGGAACTCGAATGTGTGCTATTATTGGCTTTAAGTCTATCGCTATATATAGGTTTTAAATGCATGCAACAGTAGTTTCAAGATTGTGTTTGTTACGTAAGGACCTAAGTAGTTGAACGTCTCATCCACTTGGCTTCAGGTCGTCTGGTACCTCAAAAAGTCAATTTATTGGATTACCTAATAACATACTAATAGCCTGAACCTGTCACAAACACATATAGTATGCTGGCAACTCATAACAACCCTCAGCTTAGCTGTTTTCATTTCGTTAAAAAGAGAAATGTCCTGGGCTCACATTTACAGAGTCCGCATAAAACTGGTTGAGTTCAAATGAAACACTTTTGAAAGTTTATACAAGTTTCGAGGAAATGAAAAAAAGGCAATAGCTGAAATAATAGCATATTCAAATCCAGATCAAGGGACAGTTGCATTGTATATAAAAATTAGCCTCGATATCGAGACGGGTAAAATGACACAATTAGATGGCCATGTTTAGCAAAATAGACAGCAAAAATTCTCTTGTTTCTTACAGTTGGCAAATAGAAAGCTCGCACTTGACAGTTATGTTACATTTAGCCTTTCAACAAAGGGAACAGTGAGAGTATTACAGTTTGAAACACAAACATAAATAGGGTATTCGAAGAGATTGAGCTCCAAAGTTACTGGTTTTTAATAGCAACAACATACCCAGTAATATCCCACACCGTGGGGTCTGGGGAGGGTAGTGTATACGCAGACCTTATCCCTATCTTGTGAGGAACCCTTACTAGTTTTTAATAGAGACAAGTTTATCCAACCTAGGGTGCTTCCCACAATCATGAGTGCACTTCTCAAAGATACACTCCATATATTCATTTTAGCCACTCTCAAGTATCAACTCCCCTTCAGGCCTTTGACATTTAAGCCATGGAAGTATTAACAACTTCACCAACAAACAGTTGATTGTTTCCTGAAAATAGAAATATGTATATTGCTTCAGTAGTCAAAGAAATGAAAAAGGGGGGGAAATAATTCAAAAGGTAACGGTTATTAAGATATAATTAAGTAAATAAAAGTGCACCCTCTTTTAACAGCTTAAGCTTTTAGATGAGATGAGATGATTACCCCATTTAACATGATATCAAAACTAGCAAAGGTCCTTGGTTCAAGTCTCATTGCTACCTATTGTAAAAAAGTTCACATATTTGGCTCCTTAAAAAGAATCAAGCCCGCGTGTGAGGAGATGTGTCGAAGATATAATTAAATAAATAAAAATATATAATGCCTTGGACCACTTCACCTCATTGCCTTTAAGTTTTGGGGTGGAAACTTACATTCTTTCATATGGCATCATATCCAAACTCTGGTGACCTTTAGTAAATCCGTCTTCATAATTGTTTCTCCATCATTTTGGACAGATATTCTTCTAATGTTCGCCCATCAAGCCACTCTAGGCTTCTCTCATCTCTCTCCGCTTCAGATCTACTCTCCAGCCTTCGCAGAAAAACTTATAAAAAGCAGCCAAAAAGATCTTTAATCCACCTTTAAATCATAGAGTAGAATCAAGTTACATATGCGGTATTGTGTTAAAATACACTTGTCATTCTTTGGTTGCATCAGAATTTACAATGATGTTTATGATGTGACATAGAATACTCCACCTATCGTGTTAAGGTTTTGGGTTGAACGCAGAGATTTTTTCACAATATCGAACTAGAATTCTCATGTGCCTATTCCGATCGATCATTTGAACTACCAAACCACACCTTAGGACTTAGGCACCTCCACTACAGATCATCAAATTTGCACTCCTTGAAATTTTAGGTAATTGTAAAGCCAGTCAATATTCATCACTCACAAAAACGTGACACTTGTCAATAGGAAGTAAACTTAATTTGGTATTTTTTTTGGCAAGTTGAATATATCGGCAAAATCTAACCAATTCAATTTTTTCTTTTTTTGGTAAAGGGTGAAACGCCTTAAGCCGAAGGTCTATCAAAAATACCTTTTCACAAGGTAGGATCTGCGTACACACTATTCTTCCAGACCCCACTTGTGGGATTACACTGGATTTATTTTGTTGTTGGTAAAGGGTGAAACTCACAAGAGCTAACATAATATAATGTCAGATGCAAATGAGTACTGGCACCTAATACCAATTCTGGCAAGCGGTGGCCACTCATCATAAAGAGACATTCCCGATAGAGGATAACTATTCACAAAGTTCCCTAGCATATACCAAAAAAGATGGAGCCAAATCAATTCCTGAAATACAATCAACCATTTTAAAAGATTTCTAAGCTTTAGAAGAAAGGCATTCAAAACGTTGGAAGACATCAACGTTACCTTGCACCAGTATGAGCACATACACACAAAGTTTCAAGTGTCAAAAAGTAACAAAAAGGGTACCTGATAAACTTACTCAAGCAACAGCGTCAATTATACAATGAAAAGGTATCACATCAAAGAATGCCTTCCAGACAAGAAAATGAAGAAGCTCAAAAACACATCTATGGAAGTTCAAGATCATCCTTTCCTCGCGAGCTACGAAGAATTTTACTGGGAATCCTGCATTATTCATCTTTCATCCCAACGTAAACAAGGAATAATACCATATTCAGAATTCATAAAAGGCTAATCCTATGCTGTATTGAAGCAGCATTTAGTGAAATAGGATTCACTGTGAGAGCCACGACCGTAGCTAGATGATTGTAGCTTGAATTGATCTGCTTTTACCTATTACCAAGAAAATCTCCATCTCTGCATAGGAGTTACACCGAGCTAGGCAAGAAATAAAATCTGTACTGTCACTGCAGTAGCTCACAAGTAATGAAGCAGATGCAGAGTTTTGGAAAAACCCAACTCAAGAAGGCTACGGCTAAGAACAGACATTCAAACAGTTCAGACAGTAGACAACTTACACCTCTGCATTCAATATGGCTGTAAAACAATTCAGTGACTTCAATAACCTCTCAGCAATGACCTATGGTTAAGGGAAGGAAGAAGAATATGATTGGACCCAGCACTCAGTGGAAGGAGACACCAACTCTCACACACATCACCACCTTTTTTTCTTTTTTTTCTTTTTTTGGATGAATACATGAAAACACTATTACTGCATAAGCAAAAATTGCAGCAATAGCATGAAGCAATATTAGTTAAAGGATTGTTGGACAAGATCATTAAAATCAGAAAAGGTTACAGCAACTGCAGCTTTATCAAAATAATTACAAATGCTATCATCGTAAAACCATGACCATAAGATTTTAAAGACATCAAATCGAGTATCAGCAATTTGGAAAATGTACAAAAGATAAGAAAGACATGAAAAGGAGAAATTCACCCAGAAAATCAAGAGCAGGCATAGCTCATCCAACATTTTAGGTGGCCCCGATATAATTGACCCACTTTCCTTCTTATCCGCCCATATTCACTTCAACCATTTGCAAAATGAAAAAAGTCACCCGTCACTGGAAGACAGGGAAGTAAGAGTTAAGCTGACAAAAGTTCCACTCTTTAATACCTTTATATTGAAATGACAACTTTCTGACAAGCTACTGCACTTTAACACATTTAAACAGTTAATCCTTTTCAATCCTGCTCTAACCTAAAATATTTCATTTACACTTTCTTCAGTCTTCGTGTTAGCCAAGGGCCATCTGTTTGGAGATGGAACGACTATCCAAAAACAAATGTGTCTCCAGAAGACACATAGAGAACACAAACCAAAGCAAGCTGAAGAAAAGCCGGCAGGACGAAAAATATTGCACACAATGCATCCCTTTAGCCATCCTCGACTACTAGCATTTTAAACTGACAAGTTAAACTGAAGTTTCCCTTAGTCAGGTTTCTAAGAAATAAAAGCACAGCAGAGGGGAGTGAACTGGATGTGGAAAATACAATACTACCTTCCCTCTGTGCATTCTCTTCAACGAAATGCTAGATCCAAGTGTTTGTAACTCAGGTTGAAGTCATCTAATGGTGGTTGGGGACTATCATTCAGCTCGGCCTCATGTTACCCACTTCAAGAACTAAAGTTTGGATGGAAAGAAGAATGAAATCAAGAACTTGAAACAAATTTCTAAACCACAAGTCAATCTCGAACATGGTTTAAAATGCAGTGGAGATCGAAAACAATAAGATGAACTAGCTACTAAAAGATCTCATTAACTTAAAACCAGCATTAAGAGAGTGCTGACATATATAAAACAAAAGCTTTATGAGCCAGTCTCCCACAAATCCTGAAGGGACCTGATAAAGTCTCACATGCTGTCAGGTTTCAGCATTGTCTATATACACCAGCAAGATAACAAACATAAAAGAATTTGTCTTATCTGTTTTCAAAACACTTTTTCCAACACAGTCCACCAAATACTAGCAGGTACTATTGACCATATCTTCTTCTTCTTCTTGCTCAAACCCTTATACTCCAGCTAGCCAGCAAGACCTTTTTAGTCCTTACCTTGAATATATTTAGGAACATGTGCGACACTTGGGAGGTGAGAGCAGAACGCATGAAGGTATGAGAATTTTCTTTCATTCCTTCTCACACAGATAGCACCTGTTAGTTATGTGAAACCCTCTTTTATGTAAATTGCCATGTGTCAAAAAAACCTCATTTGCTGCCAACCAAGAGAAATATTGCACTTTGAATGGAGCCTTAGTTTTCCAGATCTGTCTCCTTGGCCATTTTTGCCAAACATTTTTTGTTGTCAAAGCTTCTAAAAGATCTCAAATCAAGACTAGTAATCATGTATAAAGAGAAAAGGGGCAAAAACTTATAAAAGTGTATGCGGCAAAGAAGAGTTCTTTTATTTAAATGGAAGCTTAGCATTTGAAAATCAATAATCCTCTTAACCGATTTAAATTTGTTAATATATTTTTAACAAGGGCAAAAATCAAAAAATATAAAAATCTCTGCACCGTAGTGAACTAAATATTTGCAAGGTTAAGATCCTGGAATTTTAGCTCCAAC